GTCGCGCCGCCATCGCCCCGCCCCGCCGGCAGCCTCGCGGCCGAGTCTCAGGTGCCGCAGCAGCCCTCCGAGCCGGCAGGGCGGCCGGGGCGCCGCCGCCCCCTAGGCCCCTAACTCTCTTCTCTCTCGTGCTCTACCCTCCATGTATCAGCCGCGTTCTATCTCTCTCTCCCTTTTCATCAGCGCATTTCATTGCATGCTCTCTACGGCGCAAGTTATTCGCTCGCCACTGCTCCCCGCCCCCCCGCCCCCCAAGCACTTGCCCCTGCACACTGGCCTTGCAATCGAATCAATTCTTTTGCTGCTATGGGTCGTGCTGACTCGTCGCTGTGGCCGCGTCAGCTGCCCGGGCTGCTGCGCACCAGGCGGGGGCATGCTGCCCTCCCCCCCCCGGGCATGCCCCCGCCACACACCGATGCCACACATTTTACCCCCGACCTGTTCGTGTCGACCTGTCCGTGTCGTCGTGTCCCTCTTCCTAAATTCTTTTTCAGAGGTTGCGTCCCGTGCTGTCTTCAACAAACGAGCGTCCCGTGGAAGTGCTCCACCTGCTGCCCTTCCCCCCTCCCATACCTCCCCCCCATGATCACCCTGCTTTGATCGCCCGCGCCCCGCTCAGCCGCGGCAGGCGCACGTACATGCCGATAAGCAGCCTCTGTAAAAAATGGCACACTATCCAGCGTAGGCCGGTCATGGTTGGAGAGCGGCCGTCCCGCTGGGGGCGGCTGGAAAGGGTTGCCACCCTGCTCTGCTCATTTTGGGCTGCCGCTTCCTTATCCCCTCTTAAGCCTCCTCATCTGTAGCTCTGTGCTCTGCCGCCCTCCCCCTTCTCGTGAATGCTGTGGATTCTTCGCTCTGCTGCCAACGGGCGCTGGGGGCCTTGAGTGGGGTGCGGCTCGGTATGAGGTTCGAAACACCCAGGTGGGAGGCGAAGGGGCTCTGTGAGCCTGTGGGGCTCACTTGGTCAACAGCTGCCTGCCTTGGACTGCCGAGCCCTCCTGGTCGCTCGACTGCCTTGGACTGCCCCTGCCCCCTGCAGCTACGCCAGCGACGCGCAGGAGCAGCACCTCGGCCAGCGGTGCGGCGGCGCAGACATTGAGGACGGCGCCGCCGCCTTTTGCGTGCCCGCCGATGGTGGGTGCGCGGCAGCTGCCGGGCATGTGGGGTCCTGGCATGTACTTCCTCCGGCCCTACTCCATGATGCTCATCTGCTCGCCGTGCTGAGGAACGCAGGGGTGCACTGCAAGGGGTGCAAGTGGGACCCCGAGCGCGGCGTCTGCTTCAGGAATGACTGCGACGCGCTCTTCACCCCCGCCGACCTGCGCCGCCGCCAGCTGACCCAGTGGGCCCCGGACCCCCACCCCCAGCTCATTATCACGGCAGGCCCAGAGCGCAGCGGCTCCACCTGGCTCTTCAACGCCGGTGGGTGGGTGCAGCACAGCGGAGGGGAGGGCAGCGGGATGAGGCCAGGAGGCGGGATGCAGGGAGGGCAGCGGGATGAGGTGGGGAGCTGCACGCGCTGCCCGCCACCGGTAGTTGTCTCCCAACAGGCTACCTGCCGCCCCCGAGCCTGCCGCGCAGTGCGCCTGCTGTTCCAGCACGCCCGCAAGCCCCTGGATGCCTACTGGCTCAAGGATGTCACCGATGCGGCGCTGGACGCCCGCGGCGTGGGTGGGTGGGGGTGGGTCAGGAGGCCCGGTGGGTGGACAGGCGGGCCGGTGCAGGGGCATGGGCTGCTGCTGCGTGCCTGGTGCACACGTGGCTGGGGCGTGCGCAACCCGGAGACGGCCACGCCTGGCTGCCCTTCAGGCAAGCCCGGTGCGCACCATGTGCTGATCAAAACTCATGCCTGGAGCGAGGAGTTTGACCTGGGGCGCGCCACACACGGTGGGCTTGCAAGGGAAAGCGCCACGCTGTTCAGCGCGGATGTTTGGGCTCCAGCCAGTGCTGATGGCAGCCCCGCCTGCCCCCGGCTGGCCCCAGTGTTTGTGACACACCGCGACCTGCGCCAGGTGCTGGCCTCCTTCCGCCGCATGACCTGGTGAGGTGGGCAGGGCAGGGAGCCTCGGTCTGCAGGGCGCGCTGAGAAATGGCACCAAGGTGGGCTGGGCTCATCGGTTGCGCACCTGCCTCCCTGTGCGCTGCACTCCTGCCTTCCTGATCTCCCTGCCCCTTCTTCTCCCGACCGCCCCACCCCTGGCAAAGGGAGTACGAGCTGCCCGACAACTATGTGGATCACCACATGAGGTGGAGGGAGGTGGCGGAGGCGGACCTTGCGTTTGAGGACATCATCGGGCGCCCAGAGGCGGTGCTGGCTGACCTGGCGGCTCGCATGGGGCTGCACGAGGTGGGGTGTGACAGGTTGCTGGCCCCCGCCCTGCTCCCTGTGCTACAAGGCTTGGTGGCTCCTTTCATGTGAGCCTTTCATCAGGCAGCTGCGCTTCACCTGCCTGTGCAGGTGGACACCCCCGCTGTGCTGCACGTCCTCAGCACGCTGCCGGTGCCCAAGGACTGGGTGGATCCTGTCACGCAGGCACGCCGTGCACAGCCAGACAGCTGGGCAGCCAACCATGCGCTGTGTGGCCTTGCCTGGAAACAACGGCGCCTGCCCACTTGCTGTACTGTCTGCAGATCTGGCCCAGCCACATCAGCACACCGTACATGGAGGCCCGCCAGAAGGCGGTGGCCGGCATCATCGATGGCGGCAACGACGGGGGGGGCCAAGGCGCCAGCAGCTTTGAGGAGGCGATGGGGGAGGGGATGCAGCCGCCCACGCCGACGCTGAGGGCGCACCTGAACAGGGAGGCGGCCGACCGGCTGGTAGAGCGCTTCCCAGAGTACTTTGAGCTGTACAACTACCTCTAGCTCTAGCTGGCTGCCGTGCCAGCCGGCATGGTGCACATCCAACGGCGGCGGCAGTAGGCTCCGCCGGGAATGCCTCAAGGTCATTTGCGTCTGTTTCATCCTGCCAGTGTGCTCCTGCCGTTGTGTTGTTTTGGAGAGTCTCAACCCCCATTCGTGCGTCAAGCACGGCAAAGTTCTGCATGTGAACGTGAATGGCACCTGAGAGGTTGCACACATTTCCGCCGCTCTCCCGCCCCGCTGGCGACATGGGCTTCCTCCCGAAGCCTGAGAGCCTCCCCGACAGCCTTCGTTCTCTTCACTGCGCCTGATGGCTCCCTGGCAATCTCATGCAGCCACCAGGCGACGTTGAACTGCGGGCCAGCTCAGGTGAGGATGGTGTTTGGCCAGGTGCGGGGCTTGCGTGCTCGTATTCAGCGTCCGATCATCACGCGTCACCCTCCCCCGTGCAGGCAGCAAGCGCGTGCACGGGCCCCGGCCGCTGCCGCCGCCGCCCGCCACTCCCCGCTGCCTGCTGCATCAGGAGCTGGGTGGGGCAGCACACAGCCAGAAGGCGCACTGCTGGTGCAGCTTCTCCCACTTCCGTCTCCTCCACCAGTGCGATGCCTATGCGCAGCATGGGGAGGCGTGGCCCCCCTTTTTCCTGAGGCGCCGCAGCCCGGTCCGCGAGGTGCTGGCGGCTCAAGGGCTGGTGCTGGCCCTGTGCGAGTCGGGCGTCTGCACAGCCTTTGACCAAGGTGAGCAGCTGGACCGTGCTGCTTGAGCTGGGTTTCTCCGCACCGTACGGCTGCTGGCTCGGCTGCAGTCCCCCGCCCGCCTCATCTGCTGCCGCCGCACCTCTGTGCCAACGACGCCGCCCTGCTGCCCTGCTCTTGGGCAGGCACCGGCGAGCCTCTGTGCTTCCTGAACGCGGAGGCGGATGAGGTGATCCGCTCCCTCTTCCTCAACCAGCACACGCTCATCACCGTCAGCATCTTCAGCGGCGGTGGGTGCTGCTGGCCGGCTGGCTGCGGGCTTGCGGGCAGGCGGGCAGGCACACAGGTGCCACCGCCAACCGCCAGCATTCCATCACCCTGCCCATCACACCAGGGCTTGACTGCCTGCCTGCCGCTCCCCTCCCCTGCCGCAGACGCCCTCCAGGGCCTCAAGGTGCGCGCCACGCCGCTGACCGCCATCCGGGCGGGGCGGCCGCACCCGGCCTGGCGCCCGCTCTTCACGTCTGAGGTGCTGTGCTGGCCTGGGTTTGTGGAGTTTGACGACGTCAACCACGTCGCCATCACGTGCTGCGCGGAGACCAGGTGCGGCGGGGACGGGGCCATTCTTTGGCGGGGCCATTCTTTGGCGTGCTGCCTAGACGGGCGCAGCGGGCAGGCACGGCAGGCAGATGCAGCATTTGTGCGGCACGGGCCACGCGCTGCGGGTCCTGGGGTGGCCGCCCCTTGCAGGCAGCCCAGCCCGCTGCCCTCCCTGCTGCCGCCGCCCATTCTGCCGCCACTGGCGCAGGCAGTTCA